ACACGTGCCGTATCAAAAACACATACCCAGTGCCATTGCCAACTCCAGTAATTCTCATCTTACTGCTTCTGGGGATCGCGGGCTGCAAAGTGTACCCGGTATATAGCCCTGACAGTAGATGCTGAGCATTAACTCTGCATACAATCAGTACGGTTTCTCAGACAGGATTTAAAAACCAAGTATTAGGTATTTCCCAATTACTTAGCGTGATCAGTCATACACGTTATGAAACGAGCTATGTGGTAACATTGCATGTTATAAGTGTCTTGTGTGTCACTCTCGTACTGCCAGTACCTATAATCGAGAATTGTATTATACACACTTTGCGGCAGCCATCCTTAGGAATATAAATTGTTTGTAATGTTAACGATCACACTATTCGCAAGTATTTTAAGGATACTTTGTCCTTAGGGATTAGTAGTTTAAAGCTTGCCAGGTCTGTATTCCATATAGATCTTATCTCTGAGTTGCCTTTTCCAGTCGCATCTTCCGTCAATAAGAGCGCGGACGATCTGGTTCAGGATCTTGGAGCCATTAATTCAACTTCCTCGGGCCATCGATATTTGGGCATTTCAGAAGAGGGACTTATTTCTATTTCGAGAACACGTGGGAATAGCTCTAGGTTTGTTGAATTGAACTTCAGTAAGCATAAGTATCCCGAATTCTATAGAACTTTACCTGGATAGAAAAGAAAAGAGGATAACCTATGGTCTTATTGGATTATGCAGCGCATGGTAAGGCTTATCTCGTGATCAACTACCATACCATGACAGGATTTAGCTGATATCTGTGAAGGAGTCGAATGCGTTAGAGATTAGATAGCTTGGGGTGATAGGTTAGTGATTGGCACGAGAATGAAGTTTAGCATCAATAGTTCATCCAAGGGTAAGGCAGCAGAAAGCCAATAGAAGACCCAGGATGCATGCAAACAGAAGCTATGCAAGCCAGATGATTTGTGCTTACTAGTCAATTCTCAGTGCAATTAGGTCCATAACAAGCAATATTGAGACAGTATTATAGATAAAAATTTAGCAGTAATTACTAGTATCAAGATAAGTTATAATGTATTGAAATGTAAGTACTAAGAAATTAATAAGGCTAGTAGGCATATTATTATAAAGAACCAACAAGATTATAAATAGTACTAATTAAGTCAAGTGCTAGACGCAGGTAATATTAAAGTATCTTAGCTAACTATAACAGCTTTAGTTAGGCACATTCCTATTCATATAAAGTCAAGTAAAACATAAAGATAACAACACTAAGGCACTATAATATTCTGTGTTTATATCTTAATTAATATGTATGAACTGGGGCAGGGGGTTAGTGCCTGATCTGTATGTAGGTCAATAGATTAGATTAACTTAGGAGCTACTGCGCTGTATTCGGCGACATGCCAAATTCATCCACTGGGTAAACCCTTTCCATTGTAAGCCACTCGACATCTATGGAAAACAATACCGCCAATCTGGCATCTTTGATGAGATTGTATAGAATACGGAAGACTTTTGACAACTGTCAAGACTTGATAGACTACATACTCTTCATACAAGTCCTGAACGGAATCAAACCTGTATGACGTGAACTGTTTGATTGAGCGGTGAGATTCTTGCAGGCCTGTGATGCATGTGGCTTGCCGTGCCGTGTCTCTCTTCTGCCGTGTCTCAAATCATACATGTTCATGACCACCCACTGAAAGTGAGCCACATATTTCACGGGTGTTCACTGCGCATTCGTCACTTTATCAAGGATCAAGATTCGACAGTGCCCGTCGAATATGATAGAACTAATGTAATTCGACGCTAGGTTTTTTTCTGAAATTACCTCAATACAACCACTAGATTTTCGGGGGCCTAGACTCTCACTCCAAGGCCTAGTCTTTCGACCTTAATGGTGGATCAATCAAATATCATCTTTTCGCAGGTAGGTGGATCTTATAAACGAGGCCTTCCACTGCGTTGCACCCTAGAAGGTTTGTGAAGACATTGTGGGACTTTGTATAGCAAGCCCTGAACTGTTCCTATAATGAATTATCTGCAATTAAAGGGACACTTATTCATGTAACAGATTAGGCCTGAAGCCCCTAGTCTAATGGAAACAGACAGAACTGAGCCCTCGCCTATCAGCTATAAGTCAACCAGTGACGCATTGCATGGATAACTCGCCCCCGATATATTGGAAAGAGGGGCGGGGGGCCTGTTAAGTTCTATGAGGTATGGGAATATGGTGTATCCCCTAGGTGAGATTTGGTCTGTGCAACACCTTATGTAGGGAAAGGCTGTGCCTTGAGGTAGCCTCATTTTTGGAGAAATATTTTACAGCTCTTCTTCCGAATATCACCACTGTTATACAGTTATAGCATGCAACTAATTCAAAGATAACATTAAGCTAGATACAAATAAATAAATTGAAGTCCAGTTAAGATGTTGAACTGATCGGAATAGGCTCCAGAGCTGCCTGAAAATGACGTAACCTGAGATTCTTACCATGAGTGATCCGGACACCTTGTATAGTATGCCGCCTGTTCATCAGTTCTTTGACTGCAGTGACAGTATAGTCCAGGTGCTGGTCTGTCATGGCATTCCGCGGAATTGAGAATCGCACAAGGTTAGGAATCACTGTCTTGGCCTTCTCTTCATCCTCTAGAGTATCCCACTCTGACGCAAATGGGCCGAGTTCGAATGTCCGTACCCCGTATGATCCCAAAAGCTCCAAAGTGAAACCCAAGGCCCCAAAATCCTCATATTCTCGATTGCAATCTTCAAAAAAGACGTCCATATCCAAGAAAACGGCGGAGCCTGGTGGCAACAAGACCGGGAGCCGGGCTTCGGCAAATCTTTCAGCAAACCTGTTCACCTGGTCGAGACGAGACGAAAGGTAACTTTCCTTGGTGCCTTCATAAAGCCCGACAGTGGCAGCCATAAGATCACGCCCGCTCATACCACCATAACTGTCATTGCCATATCGGAGAATCTGCTGTTCCCGGATGGCAGTACCAATGCCTTGGTACTTGGTTGTATACTTGCCACCGTCACGAAGGCAAAGAATGCCTCCCATGTTGGCAAGGCCGTCTTTCTTTAGCGAAATGGTGAAGCCATCAGCCTCAGAAAAGATTTCTCGTATGATTTCGGGAACCGGGGAATCCTTGTAACCACTTTCGTATCGTTTAATGAACATTGCATTCTCTGCAAACCGGCAGGCGTCAAAAATCAGAGGAATATTGAATTCTTTTGACAACCGCGACACTTCCCTGATGTTTTCCATAGACACAGGCTGTCCTGCTGCAAAATTGTTGGTGATTGTCAGTATGATAAGAGCCACGCGGCCCTGCTGGTCTCTGTTTGACAAAAACCTTTCTGCAGCAGAAATGTCCATGTTGCCTTTGAAAGTATTCTTGTTCTGCCAATCCTGAATAGGCTGCGAGTGCATCCAGCCCTCTTGGGCGAATGTAATGAGACGAAAGCCAGCTGCTGATGCATTGCCCGAAGTTGTATCAAAAAAGCCATTGCTGATGATAATAGGCTGTTGACTGTTCGGTTGAGAAAAAGCATGAGCGGTAGCCTGGAACAAGAGGCTTTCCGCACACCGACCTTGAGGAACGAGGAAGAAATTGGGGCGTGTCATTTGTGCCAGGCCGCCGTTGACAAAGCCTTTTTCCTGATATTCCAAGTACCGTTCAAAGGCGGTATTGGTTTTGAGATCTGGCCTCATCTCTTGGAAAGCATTCAACCGATGCTCCCCACGTTCAAAGATGTCTCGCACAGCCTCGAGAAAATAGTAATAGCCGCAGTTACGACCGTAACTCTCGTCGCCTTGCATGATAGCAGACCATTGGTTCGTGGTCATCGCACCAGTGCCCGAGTCTGAAAGAAAATCTGCTACGACAAGCGCTGCAGGGAAGGCAAACACGTTGTATTGAACGGAGCGCAATATACGCTCGCGAACATCTCTGGGGACTTGTTCTGTCTGGCGGACAGCCGCCACGGTGAAGGTTGGCATTGAGATGACTTGAGACATTGTAAATAGAATAGGGTGTAATTCTTTTGTCTGGTAAAGAGAAGCTTGAGATATTGGGGGAAAAGGTGGTATGAGTTAGCGGGCTGGGTGGATTGTCTTCAATTCGTATTCTCCATACTTTATAGTATTTATTCGACGAACGATTTAGTCCAAGAGCACTCCCCAGTGCCCAATAACGAATGCATGGGTACTACAAGACGTCATTAAAACATAAAACTTGACGGATATCCTGAGGTCTACACGGTATCGATTGCGACCTCGCAGCATGCGTATAACTTGGCAAACGACTTCATGGTGTTGATGAACGCCGATCATTGTTTTGCATCGAAATGACGCATATTGGAATCGTGGTGGTTGCCAATATAACAGGAATTCATCATTCTACGGGCCACGAATGCGAAGATTATCTCGATCTGGTCAATGGGTGTCGATACACGCACCTATACACATATCTCCACACCCTGCTTCACGGAGAGGGCCCCGCATATGCAATGTATTGATGGCCTCACAGGATATGTCTCAGTGCAATATCTCTGACGCTGGCTGCGATTTCTATCGATCAACGCCCTACCCGAGACCGGAGGAACGTCAAGCTGACGTCAGTATACAGAAAGTCGAGAGCTCTGGGGTGGTTAACCACAAGCATGCACGAGATCGCAAAGCACGCGAAGGTGTGTCAAGCAGTAACAACCTCATCAAATTGTTATCAAATGCGTGCTGCTCTATTACTCTTTGGGGCCCCTTGGGTATGCAAGTATATGTAGCTATTCTAGATCACAATCTTTCTGGCCTGAGTCGAGTACTAAAGAGAAATTTTCTATCTTTATTCTATACTCAAATGATTACCACCTGTCAGCTTCAATCATACACCATCGCTTCATTTTGGTCACATTGACTGTATAAACAATGGAAACTGTCGCAACGCCTTTTATCGGAGACGCTGAAAGCGGTCACTTTTCCGCGAATCTATCTCAAATGTCAAAATGGTCGAAGAGACCGCGGACAATTCTAATATTAAGCATTATCTTCCTAGCAAGTCTAGTTGGTGCTCTTGGTCAGTGAACTGTGATCAATTGACATTCATGCGGTAGATGTCTGTTTCTGACGAATTCTCATGATTATAGATAGCACTATTGTGACAACTTTGACGCATACGATCATGAGCGACCTGGAGTCGTCCTTGGTTGTCTCGTGGTTAGGTGCCAGTTATCTCATCGCGACTGCTCTTGTCCAACCTCTGTGTGGTCAGTTTTCTGACATATACACACGCAGGGCATGTTTGCTAGTTGGAAGCATAGCTTTCGCTTTGGGAAATTTCACATGCAGTATTGCAGAGTCACTTGCATTCCTGGTGGTTGGCCGAGCCCTGTCGGGAATTGGAGGCGGTATCCTTACTATCATGGCCACCATTGTTCTGACAGACGTTACTCGAACCGAAGCAAGGGGTCTATGGCAAGGCATCAACAATATCGTGTTTGGATTCGGCCATGGGTCTGGGGGTCTTTTTGGGGGACTCGTGGCACATCGCTGGTCATGGAGAGTTGCATTCATGAGCCTTTCTGTTCCCGCGCTCCTTATTATGCTCGGGGCGACACTCCTACCAGAACCAATCAGCAGGCATAACCAGATCGCTGACAATGCTTCCGCTGCAGAAGAGTCGACAGCCACTGGTAATGAGGACGTCCCGTTGCTTCCAAAGCTCAACTCAAGCGGAAGAAAGGTTGACACCATGGGTACTATCCTGCTATCCTTAGGACTAGGGTCATTATTGGCATCGAGCCAGCAGTTGGAGTTTGGCAGCTCAAACTTGGATCTAAGGCTGGTCGCATTTGGGTTTGTGATTTCTTTCATTATGCTCACCGCCTTCTCGTATCACAGCGTTTTCATGACAAAGGATGCCCTTTTACCCCTCGGCCTTCTGACTAAATCCCCGAGTGTTGGCTACAGCTGCCTCGTCACATTCCTCTCACAATTTGGTTTCACAATTTCTGAGTTCTACTTGCCATACTATCTTTCGCTCCAAGAGCATACCAAGATGGAAGTTGTTGGCTGGTGTCTAGTTCCCCTAAGCGTGGGCGCAGCGGCAGGCTCTTTCCTTGCTGGGTTTTTAACATCCAGATCCAACACGTCACATTTGTTGCTAGGCTCCTCGGCGGTTGCTTTCATTGGAACTCTCGGAGTACTATTGACTCCACACAAAACATATGCTTTGACATACCAATTAGTCTCCATATTCTTATGGGGGCTTGGATTTGGGGGCCTTGCTACTGCCAGTCTAGTGAGGATGCTTGATTCCACCGAGGTAAACAAACAGGCTTCAGCAACGTCCCTGCTATACACCTCACGATCCCTCGGAGGAGCTCTTAGTCTGCCAGTAGCAAGTTTCGTCTTTCACATGGTCGGGAAACAACAATTTGAACACCTCTTAGAAATGTTGGCGACATCGGAAAACAGGCAAAGTCTTTTACCGCACATTCGTGAAATTGCTCAAGCACTACTGGCACACCAACCAACCCACCTTCGACTTCCAAGCTCGTGGCATACAAAATTACGCGATTGCGAAATATTTTCGGTTACTCTATTGTTTATACTTCCAGCAATCTCAGGTTGGGCGTTATTCATGATATCCCTGTTGGTGATTAGACGACAGCAGTGCTCTTCTTGATTATTATTTACAGTTTGGTAAGTTCACGCCTCTTAAGATGGGTTCTTTGAAATACTAAATAAGAGGTTATAAAGCGTAACTATCACAAGGGGGTGTCATCGGGGGCGAATGCAAACAAACTGACTTGGTTCGTTTGTTGAATTTCATGTTTCTACTAGAAGGGTAGGGGGTTTCGTTTGTTCAGTTTCGACCGGGAGCTATAAAAATACTGCAATACAGTGTTACATGTCTCCTAGCTACTAATCCAATATGTTTCAGTGATGTAGGCATTAAACCCCGTCTAACTATAAATGAATACATAATTGGATTAGATTATTGTCCTTCATACGCCTATTTCCTCTATTAATAAAATTAATTCTTATTCCATATCTTTTGCTACTCCTGCTTCTGATTATTTCCTTCTTTTTAAGGGAAATAATTAATTCAAATACTCTAAGATAGTACGATTACGTGCCACAATTACCCACTAACACACAGTAAGTCATTATTAAGCTATCCTGGGCAGCCGAAACGTAAGGAATAGATCTGTGCCATGTTGCAGTGAAACACGGCAGACAAAATTAAGCAACCTGAATGGAAGATTAGATGTATACACCCGACTAATCATGGATCTCGATGATAAGTTTCATTAATGTCATAAGGCGGCCAACATACTACCAGGGTTGCATGACATGTCTTATATTCTTTTCTGCATGAACGGCACGGCACGGCAAATTAGTAGCGGGCCCAGGCCAACCTTGGAAGTGTGTGCATAGGTCATCAGGTGGCGCTTTCAGGCAGCAATGGTGAGCGAAATCCAGTAATTTCGTTTCCAGTCTGTCAGCGACCAGAGAGGCGGTCAGAAAGGTCGGTCAGGGCTGGTGGATATCGGTGAAGACAACGTGCAGCTTTTCCAAAAGAACCGATATCCGATACCGGGCGTTGTAAAAACACTTGTGTAACTATGAAATGTTCTTGTACCTATCAATGTTAATACCAAGGGATGGTAAGGTTTTAAGATTTAAAGAAATTAGATTAACTTTTATATAAGTTAGTTAGTAAAAGTTAAATTAATCTTAAGTTACTAATAGCTTTATTAATTAAATATATATACTAATATATATAATTAATTAATAGATTAACCTAATTAGGATATAGTTAAAAAT